GACTTACGGGCAGTCTGCTTAGTACGGGCCATGGCGAACCGGAACTCGAGCCGAACAACACAGCGGCGGGGCACAGGATCGAAGTCCCGGCCCGCCGCAGCCGTCTTTATAGGCACAGTCTTTTCCCGATTGGGCGGGACGAGAAAAATCGAAAGTCCCGCGCTGGCCGTCCATTGGCCGTGACGTCACCCGCCCTGGCATCCCCGATTGGCTGGGGCAGAACCTTCCCTGTCCCCGGCCAGCCGCCTCACTTCCTACTTTCCCGTTTGCCAAGTTTTTCCTACCTGGTCTTTCCCGTCTGTCTTTCGGGCCGAGTCATTTGTCTTATTCGCAACTGCGTCCGAATGTCCCTCCGCAGCCCCTCACTCCCGTAGGACAAGCCACCCGCGACGCCCTCTTCCTTTGCACGCCCGATAGCCCAACCTTCCGTTTGTCTCTCGCCCCCCGATCGCCTTGTAACCTTTTCAGAGCTCCTCAGTTGGTCTGGACGACCGTTTTCCCCGCCTTTCGGGTCGGAAAGTTGTTCCCGCCCCAGGCGCAAGATTCCGCCTCCGAAAGCCTAAGTGGGGACCCGCACCTCGGCCGCGAAGGCGTCTCCTCACTTTTTGAAAGAGAATCTGCTCCGTTGGGCCTAGCCCCAAGTCCGCCCCACTCCCAGAAACCGCCCTTCTCCCCTACCGACTGGGGCGTCCGCAGGGTGGTGTGTGACAAACCCACCCTCCTTGCTAGACCTCAGGTGTTGGTCGGAGGCGTCAGGGGTAAGCGGGGCGAGTTGCCCGCTCGGCACCGGCCGAGGTACGGCACCCGGGGCCGACCGGCAGCAGCAGCAGCAGCAGCAGCAGCCGCCACACGGAGTCGCCGGCGGCGCCCGAGGCTTGCTCCCGCCACCCGCGTCACGTCCTGAGGCTTACGGCCCGGCCCGCCCAACGCCGAGGCAGGAGAGCGCTCGAGATCCAGGGGCGGAGGAACGGTTGGGAGGCGAGGGCCGCCGGCGCTCTCCCCGCGCCGCCGCCTCGGTTGTGAGGAGTGGGTTCGGCCCCTACTACCCAAAGGTGGGATGGAGACCGGCTACCACAACAGCTCTTTTATTTGAAAGAGTGGGTGGCTCTGAAAAGAGCCTTTGATTTCACAGGTGCCCCTTCGAGACGGGGGCCGGGAGAGCTTCCAAACGTCCGCCTCACTTGCCCTTGGCCTTGTGGTGACTCTCCGTCTTCTTAGGGAGCAACACGGCCTGGATGTTGGGCAAGACACCGCCCTGGGCGATGGTGACTTTGCCCAGCAGCTTGTTCAGCTCCTCGTCGTTGCGGATGGCCAGCTGCAGGTGACGAGGGATGATGCGCGTCTTCTTGTTGTCTCGGGCGGCGTTGCCCGCCAGCTCCAGGATCTCCGCCGTCAGGTACTCGAGCACGGCCGCCATGTAGACGGGCGCGCCGGCCCCCACCCGCTCGGCGTAGTTGCCTTTGCGCAGCAGGCGGTGCACTCGGCCCACGGGGAACTGAAGCCCAGCGCGGGAAGACCGCGACTTGGCCTTAGCGCGGGCCTTGCCTCCCTGCTTGCCACGGCCAGACATGACAGCGATAGGCACTGCGAGAAGCTCCCGACCGACAACCGAGGAAGTCGCCCTAAACGGCTCCGCTTCACCCTTTTATAGCCACAACGGCGATTGTCCAAGGAGCACTTGGATTGGCCAAAGCGGAGCTCTGCCCCGATGGCCAATAGGAGAGCGCGGGCAGAATCCACTCATTTGCATAATCTCGCCCCCCCCTCCGCAGGAGCGCCACCGAAAACTTGCCAATCGCGACGCGGCGCACTCGGAGCCCTGATTTGCATACGGCCTCTATAAGTACCCAGTCGCTTCCGGTAGCCTCGGTCCTGCACTTGCGTTTGCGTCCCTCGCCTTCTCTGTCGCTTGGTGTTTACCGCTATGCCTGAGCCGGCAAAGTCCGCTCCCGCGCCCAAAAAGGGCTCCAAGAAAGCGGTCACCAAAGCCCAGAAGAAGGATGGCAAGAAGCGCAAGCGCAGCCGCAAAGAGAGCTATTCCATCTACGTGTACAAGGTGCTCAAGCAGGTGCACCCCGACACCGGCATCTCGTCCAAGGCCATGGGCATCATGAACTCGTTCGTCAACGACATCTTCGAGCGCATCGCCGGCGAGGCCTCCCGTCTGGCGCATTACAACAAGCGCTCGACCATCACGTCCCGGGAGATCCAGACGGCCGTGCGCCTGCTGCTGCCGGGCGAGCTGGCCAAGCACGCCGTGTCCGAGGGCACCAAGGCCGTCACCAAGTACACCAGCTCCAAGTGAGTCTCTCTGCGGCCGCCCTTTAACCCAAAGGCTCTTTTCAGAGCCACCCATCTTCTCAGTGAAAGAGGCTGTCATCTTCAGTCAACAGCTCCTGTCGCGGTGCTTCCCCGCACCGCCTACTCGTTTCCCAGGAAAGATATTACCTGTTTTTGTAGATGATGGGGTAAAAGGCCAAGGTTTAGGGGTACGTGTCCTCCATTCAGATGCTTTTCCTTATCCTATTTATAGGTGGTATAGTTAGTTAGGAAAGTTGATATAATTTAGTAGCTAGGAATTGCTAAATGCTCGTGTCTTTGCTGTCAAATTTCATGACGCCTTACACATACATGGTTATATTAACCCCCAAAGAGTTGTCAGTAACCGTAATTAAGTCATATTCTCAAAATGGCAGTAAAAAGTTTTCAATTTCTGAAGCACAAGTTAAATGCTCCAAAGAACAGAAAAACCCCAGTATGTCTTGGAAACAAAAAGGAGATTTCGTTGAGATTTTAGTATTGAGAGTTGGGTTGTTTTAGACTGGGATTTGAATAATTCTTCAAACTTAATCCCTTGTTTCATGCATTGGTTGTGTATAGTAAAAGCAAGGAAAACGGGCTATTGCCCTGTTGTTGGTAGATCAGTATTTTTTTTTTAAACTGGTCTTCAGTTTGATCATGTCTTAAACATCTTTTGTTACTTTTCAAGTTAGGAAGTAGTCCTTTCTTTGAAAACTTAGTTCAGATGACATCAGGACCTGAGATGAAAGTTAAATTCAACTAAGCTGATCTGCATTTCTGATCTGTAACATTTCTCTCAAGCTGGCCTACAATAAGCTGAAGATAAGCATCAACTGTAATTTCTAGACCAGTGGTTCTTAAAAGTCTGGTCTCCAGACCAGCCACATTAATATTACCTGAGAATTCATTTAAAATGAAAATTTCAGACATCTGTAGTCTGTGTTAACAGGCCCTCTGGGTGACTCTGCTGCATGTAGTGATAACTGCTGGGTAGTGGAGTACAGTGATAACAATGGTAAAAATAAGAAGCTTGGGGATTTAAATTATGTTGTGGAAGTAGAATTGACAGGTCTTGCCAAAATACAGGGTTTGGGTAAGTGTGAAACCCCTAGGTTTTTGGCTTGAGCAACCAGGTTAGATATAGTGGTGCTGTTAATTAGGACTGAATCCTGGGAGTTATGGGTTGGGGTTTTGAAAGGGCATCCAGATTTCTGACTTAAATATGGGAAGCTTTTGACATTAAAGTGGGCCTATGAAGTTGGCAGTTTGACAAATGCACCTGGAGCTCAAATGAAGATACCACAAACCTGCCTTCAAGCACAACCTCTAAATACAGAGACCTAGATTCTCTAGACCTTATTCATCCTTAAATGTTTCCTTACAGTATTCTTCAAGACTTGAATCTTTTCTATAACTTAGTTGGTAGTCCCATAACATATATTATTTTTCTCCTGTTTCTCCAATTGTATCCTGCCTTTCTAAGGAATGCACCTAATCCCTCAATGTAGGTCGTCCTCAAGTTTGACTGCCCCAGTGAAATCACCTGCAGAACTTTAAAAAATACTGATGTCAGGGTGCCACCCCCAGAAACTCTGATTGAAGTGGTTTGGGGTACAGCCTGCACTTGGAGGATTTACAGAAGCTCCCCAAGTGACTAATGGGCAGCAAAGTTTGAGAACGACATGTGCTTCCCAGAAAACAGATCTTACCCCACACATTGATTACTTCCGGAAACATTTCAGAAATTGAACTGAGCAGGGAAATGTATATTGTTGTCCTCTTTTTGGAAAGAAGTTTCTTTGCTTTCAAGAGGCAGCAACAGGGTGGAGTGTTCTGTAAGTGTGAAGGCAAGAATGTTTATAGACCCACAGAGGAGAGCACAACTGATGGGGTTCAGCCACCCTCAGAGCCCTGCTGGACCTTCCAATTAAGCCAATTTGTCTGACGTGTTTTGTTTTGTTTGTTTTTTTTAACTAATATTCCAAATTTTAGGGGAAGTATTAGTTTCTTATGGCTGCCATAACAAAGTATCACAAACTGAGTGGCTTGAAAGAGCAGAAATTTATTGTCAATTCTGGAGGCTACAAGTCTGAGGTCAGGGTGTTGGCAGGGCCCCCCCGTCTGTCCAAGGCTGTAGGTCCAGATCCTTCCCTTGCCTTCGCCCCAGGTATTTTTTTTAGCTGTGACAGCATATCTTCATCTACTCCTGAACTCCTGTGTGTTTCTACATCTTATTAAAAAAAACTCATATTGGATTAGGGCCCACCCTGATGACTTTAACTTGATGACATCTACAAAGGCCCTGTTTCCAAATAAGGCCACGTTAAAAGGCACTGGGGAGTTGAGATTTCAATATATCTCCTTGGGGGACACAATTCAACCCATAACAGGTAGTCAACAGCCGCGGATGCCTGAACATAGCTCCCAAATATGTCCATGTGAACATTACTTTAAATGACAATGGAGACTTTACTGATGTGATTTTTGAGACAGGGAGATGATCCTGGACTATTTGGGTGGACTCAGATGCAATAACTAGGGTCACTGTAAGATGTAAAAAGGTCAACAGGAAAAGGCGATGAATGCAGAGACTTTTGAAAAATGCATGGAAATGAATTCTCCTCTCGAACCTCCGGAGAGAGTGCAATTTCGATTTCTATCTGGTGAAACTGATTTTGTAGTTCTGATCTCCAGAACTGTAAAGTGAATAAAATGTGTGTTTTAAGCCACTAAATTTATAGTGATTTGTTACGGCAACCACATAAAACTAATATAACAGGTATATCAGATTTTTACAATTGGAGAAATTTGAATATGGATTGCATGTTAATACTATTGAATCAATATTAAATTTATTATGTGTAACAATAGGATTGCAGTCACACAGGAGAATGCCCTTACTTTTCAGACATGTGCTATTAGGGAGAAGTGTCAAGATATTTGAAACTTCTTTTCAAATGGTTCAAAAGTGTGCACAGAAAGAGAAAAGATAAAGCAAATGCGGCAAATAATAACAAAACCATTAGTGAATCTAGACAAAGATATGGTTGGTCATTGTACTATTTTTTTTTTCAGCTTTTCTATAGGTTTGTATTTTCCAAGACGAATTAAATTTTTTTTTGTTCCTAAAGTTAAGATTTTCCACTTCTTTATTTAAAAAGTTTAAGTGTGAGAGTAATCATCATTTATTAACTAGAACTCTGAACGATATCCCTTGTTTCATTATACTTTGCCATAGTCATTTAGTGATTGCACTAGTCCAGGGACACCAAATGACACTGCCTTAGATATTTGTTTATTCTGTGTTCTATAGTCTGAGCTTGAAACTGAAGTTGGATAGGGGACTTTAATGAAATACTGAGACTGAAACAATCGTTTCTAGGGAAAAAACATCTACTACAAAAGAGCAAAAATCAGACTTTATAAATCATAACCCCTTTCCCTTCCCTAAACTCGATTCTCTCATGACTCCTATTTGAGATTTCCACTTGAATAGCAACCAGGAATCTCAAAATTTTGTCCAAGACAGACTGCTGGTTTTCTTCCTCCAAACCTAACTCATATCAGTAAATTATACCTCTTTCCAAGTGCTCAGTCCAAAAAGTTGCAATTAGTCCTTGATTCCTCTTTGTTATAATCTACATTGAACTCATTGATAATCTACATTCAACTCACTGACTTTACAATATATTTTAACTACTTCTTACCATCTCCACTGCTACCTCTCTCTCTCTTGAACTTTTACAGTAGTCTCTTTGATATTCCCTCTGCCTCTACTCTTGTTCTAACTACAGTCTATTTTTCGACACAGCATTTTGGGTACACTTTAAAGAATTTAAGTCAAGGAATGTCATTACTTTTGGCAATAGCCTACGAGGTCCTTCAGTGGCTTACGGGATCTGACCAACTACTGATCTGATACCATCTCCCTGCAAATCTTTCCTGATCAGACCTGTCATCCACACTCCACTCCATGTTCAGCTTTACGTCGTTGCATATATCACCCCCAATATTATACTGTCATACATTTCTTATTTTCAACATCCGTCTACTAGAATGTAGATTTCTGTGGATAGGGACTTTGTTCTGTTCAATGCTATATCTCCACCATGTTTTATTTATCTCAGGGTGGTTTTTTTAATCTCTCCTTTATTATGGGAAATGATGTGTATATACTCATAACTGGAGCCTGAACAAGGTGTCAGTTTTGCTTTCAAACCTGAAAGTGTAAATGTTGTTGCTAAAGGGAACTATGTAACATAGTTACGAGTCACTCTATCTTTCAAGATTAGCTTTTCTGCTTTACTATTAATAGTCTGAGAGTTCTCAGAACCAAATATTGACCACTCTCTCCACCACGTTAGGTTATTCGCTTGAATGTCTTAACCCTAAACTCTTTAAATTTAGGCAATCTGCCTCATCTCTCAGCAGATCCAAGCAAGGCATGTGTGATAAAGTAGCAAAATGTTTCCTGGGGCCGAAGCAAGGCAAAGAGGGGAGGGATTAAGTACAGTAACTGCAAAATAAGGTATTTGTATTTGATTGTGTGGAGCAGAAAGGAAGCAAGGAAAATCACTGTTGAAGATATTTGAGATTTTACATAGGTGCGTAAGGGGGGAAAAATTAGCCAAAACCCAAAGGAATGAACTAGAACAACTATCGCAGTGTGCTTAACATTTTTTATAGGGAGTTTCAATTTTATGCATTTTGTGCTTTATCTCCTGTTCTTGTTTGACTTCTTTAAAATGGTTTTGAATCCCAATAAAATGGTTTTGAATCCCAATAAAGGTAGAAATGTAAAGTTCTATGTTATATTTGGTGCAAAGGGAAAATGTAGCTAGTTTTCTGTGCAGCATTACAAACAATTCAGGGAAAGAACCACCAGGAACAAGAGAAAATGAGTTAGTGACTGAAGTGTGAACACGTTCCCATCAAATATGGCACCTGCATAACCAGGATGTCAGTGGTTCTCAAACATGAATCACCTAATGTGTTCCATAGGTTTTTCATCGTTCTCCCCCAGGAGAGCACCCCAGTGGACAAACGTGGAGTTTTAG